TGACCCATTGGTTGTTTAGTATTATGTTGTTTAGCCTCCATGTGTTTGTGTTTTTTCCAATTTTTTCTTGTAATTGATTCTAGTTTCATAGTGGTATGGTCAGAAAAGATGCTTGATAGGATTTCTATCTTCTTAAATTTATTGAGATTTGAATTTTGGCTTTGTATGTGATCTATCCTGGAGAATGTCCCATTTGCATTAGAAAAGAATGTGAATTCTGCTGTTTTTGGGTGCAGTGATCTGTATATATCTATTAAGTCTATCTGCTCTAATATATCATTTACAGCCAATGCTTTCTTATTGATTTTTTAATCTGGATGCCTGGATGATTGATTGACATAAGTTAAGTGTTGAAGTCCCCTAATATTGCTATATTGCTGCCAATTTCTCCCTTTAGGCCTGTTAATATTTGTTTTATGGATTTAGATATCCCTATATAGGGTGCATAGATATTTACAAGTGTTATATCCTATTCTTGGAATGAACCCTTTATTTTTATATAATACCTTTGTCTTTTCCTACAATCTTTGTTTTAAAGTCTATTTTTTCTGATGTAACTATTGTTACCCCAGCTTTCCTTTTGTTTGCATTTGCATGAAATGTCTTTTTCTGTTTCTTTGCTTTTAACTTGTATGTGTCATTAGGTCTGAAGTGAGTCTTTGAGGCAGGATATACATGGGTCTTGCTTTTAATCTATTCAACTACCTTATGTCTTTCAACTGGAGCATTGAGTCCAGTTACCCTTAGAGTAATTACTACTAGACATACAGATGGACAACAGGCACATGAAAAGACTCTACATCATCAGGAAGATGCAAATTAAAGCCACAGTGAGATGTCATCTCACACCAGTCAGAATGGCCACTATCCAAAAGACAAGAAATACCAATTGCTGGAGAAAATGTAGAGAAGAGGAAATTCTCCTACACTGTTGGTGGGAATGTAAATTGGTTCAGCCACTATGGAAATCAGTATGGCAGTTCCTCAAAAATCTAAAAATAGAGATACTATATGACCCAATAATTCCACTTATAGGAATTTATCTAAAGAAAACAAAATCTCTGATTTGAAGATATATGCATCCTATGTTTATTGCCACATCATTTATAATAGCCAAGATATAGAAGCAACCAAAGCATCCATCAATAGATGAATGGATAAAGATGTGTTACATATACACAACACAATATTATTCAGCTATAAAAAATAAGGAAATCCTGCCATTTTTGACAACATGGGTGGACCTAGAGGGTATTGTGTTAAGTGAAATAAGCCAGGCAGAGAAAGGCAAATACCATGTGAATTTCTCTTATATGTGGAATCTGAAAACAAAATAAACAAAACAGCAATAGACACTGAGAAGTGACTGGTGGTTACCATGGGGGAGGGGTTATGATGGGTGGATAAAATAGGTGAAAGCGATAAAGAGGCACAAAATCTCAATCATAATATAAATTATAGGGATGAAAGTACAGCATAGAGAATATAATCAATAGTTCTATAATATCTTTCTATGTTGAAAGATAGTAATTATACTAGTTGGGGTGAGCATTTAATAATGTATATGCCTGTCAAATCACTACGCTGTATACTTGAAACAAATATAATATTGTATATCAGCTATATGCAATTTTAAAAAATCAAATAAATAAATAAAGATTTCCTGCTGCTGACTGCTCAGAGCATGTTTTTACCTTCTCCAATCACTATCTTTCACTTTTATTTGTTGACTCCTAACATTCCTCCTCAAACTTTCTTTCCTTGGGCTTCCATGATGCTCTCTTCTTTTTCCCCCAAACTTTCCACTGCTCCTCCAGTTTCTTACATGACCTCCTTTTCCTTCCTTCCTTCTCACTGCTGGCTGTTGTCCTTCCCTTTGTCCCAACTCTACCCATTTTCATTGACTGCTGTGATCTCATCTATGTCTAAAGCTTCTATAAGAATCAGTCCCGAATCTCTCTCTCATTTAGCCACTCTGTTGAACAGTGTAGTCAAGCTGTTTGTCCATTTGGGTGGCAAAAGAAAACCAACATGTCCAAATGTAGATAATCATTCATGGAAGCCCATGCACGCTCTCCTCTCTTTCTTTTTCTAACAGCAATATCCTTTCCCTGGCCACCAGTCTAGGAATCACTCCTGACAACATATCTGTCTTCTTTTAAATCTCATGTGTGATCTTGCCATGTAATTACCAAATCCTTTTGTTTTAAATGTTTTAATATTTCTTGAACATAGTTCATTCTTACCATTTCTCAGTCTCTATCTTACTCCTGGTTATAGTCATTTCTCACATTTGTTGATTCCACAACCTAAATAGTCCTTTGTTTCCACCTTTGTAATCCCAGTCTCCACACTGCTACAGAAACATTCCAATATGCAAATATGACAGTTCCTCAGTAACTTAAGTGTAAAACATCAACTCTCTATTCCCATTCTCCACCCCTCATCTACTTTCTTGGATGTGGAGCTATTTGCTTTTTGCCTCCTTGCTCCTCTACCTTCAATGTTTCTTCCTAATTGCCTCCCTTTTAATTTTACTTTTTGAAACATTTTGAGGTTTAGATCAGATAATATAGGAAAAACCCACAGGACGGTTTCTAGAATATAGTAACCATTCAATAAACAGGAATTCCCTCTTCTCCCTTCTTCTCCTCCTCTCCCTAGAACTTCACATATAGTTCTCCTGATCATTGAGGGTTACTGGTTCAACCAGTTAATTTTGATCTAGTGGCCAATGGCCATCCATCAGTTGGGGACAACTTCAGTACATTTCTACTCCTTTGGATTTTATGAACAACATCCTAGAAATAGGATATCAGTGAAACATTCTACCAACTACTTATGGATTAAAAAAAATAAAGTAATTGTTGATAGGTATGTTGATAAGTATGCACTTATTGCCATTTTCTTGATTGTTTTCTGGTTCTTTATGTAGTTGCCTCTGTTCCTTTCTTCTTTTACTCTCTTCCCCTGTGACTTGGCGACTTTTCTTAGTGTTATGTTTGTATTCCTTGCTCTTTGTTTTTTGTGGCTACCATGAGGTTCATAGGTAGCACTGTATGTGTATAGTAGTCTAGTTTAAGTTGATGGTTGCTTAAATTCAAGCACATTCTTAAAAAAGCACTATATTTTTACCACCACCACCACCATTTTATGACTTTATGTCATATTTTACATCTTAATATTTTGTGTGTCCCTTGGCTAATTATTGTAAGTCTAGAAGATTTTACTACTTTTGTCTTTTAACCTTCATACTAGCTATGTAGGTGGTTGATCCACTACCTTTACCATATGTTTATGTTACCAGTGCAATTTTTTCTTTCATAATTTCTTATTTCTAGTTAAGACCTTTTCCTTTCCATTTAAAGAAGTCTCTTTTACATTGTTTTGTAAGGCTGGCTTGGTGGTGATGAACCCCATTAGCTTTTGTTTTTCTGGGAAAATTCTTATCTTTCCTTTAATTCTGAATGATAACCTTGCCCTTGCTGGGTAAGTAGTCTTGGTTGTAAGTTTTTTCCTTTCACCACTTTGACTACAACATGCCACTCCCTTCTAGCCTGTAAAGTTTCTGCTGAAAAATCAGGTGGTAGTCTTCTGGAGCTTCCCCTGTATGTAACTAGTTGTTTTCTTTTTCTCTCTTTATCTTTAACTGTTGACTCTCGAATTATATAATGTGTCTTGGCATGGGTCTCTTCGGATTAATCTTTTTTGGGATTCTGTGCTTCCTGGACTTGGATGTCTGTTTCCTTTGCCAGGTCAAGAAAATTTTCAGCCATTATTTCTCCGAAGATATTTTCTGTCCCTTTCTCTCTCTCTTATTCTGGTTCCTCTATAATACAAATGTCAGTATATCTGATGTTGTCCCAGAGGCCTTTTAAAGTATCTTCATTTTTAAAATCCTTTTTGCTTTTTGCTGTTCCATTTGAATGGTTTTTACTATCCTGTCTTCCAGATGACTGATGCATTCTTCTGCATTATCTAATCTGCTGTTGCTTCCCTCTAGTGTATTTTTCATTTAATTTGGGCGGGTGGGTCCACAGAGGATTGCTGGGGAAGGGTGAGCAGTGCTAGCACAATAAATGAAGACTGTCGGAAATGGCTACCACCACCACTGGGTCAACTAGGTAGAAGGAAAGTGAAAAAAATGGTGCTCATCAGCTATTCCGTCCCCAGGTGGTATTCCAACAGATACCTGCCCCTCTGGCATATGACCTGAAATTAGTCAACAGATCTCCTTCATGTGTAACCCAAGTTCCTTTCAAACCACTCCCTCTGCTCTGGGACTTGGAGTGAGTGAGACTGTATGTTTGCCCTTTATGAGCAGAATCTTTGTTTTCAACTGACCTCTGGCTTTCCCAGACATAAATTCCACTGTATTTCAAAGACAGATATTATGTGGGCTCATCTTCCTGGTGCAGGCCTCCCAGGCTGGGGAGCCCAGTGTGGGGCTCAGACTCCTTGTCCCTTAGGGAGGGCCTCTACAGATGGGATATTGCTCCCACTTGTGGTTCACTGTGCTGGGTTGTGGGTCCTGACCAGACTTCATTGCTGCTCCTCCTACTTGTCTTGGTGTGGCTTTTTCTTTATATCATTAATTGTATAAGATCTGTTCTGCTAGTCTTCAGTTTATTCTCAGAGTCATTCTATATGTAGTTGTAGATTTGGGTGTGTCTGTGGGAGGTGAGCCCAGGACCTCGCACCTTGCCATCTTGATAGCCCTCCTCTCCGTCTACAGCTTGATGTGAGGTGGAGCCTCACAAATGCATCCAAGATGCCGTATTTGGGAGTCCTACCTGTGACATTAATCCCAATTCTGGGTCTGGACAGTGTGGGTGATGATTGTTCCTCCATAGACTGGCCTTCCTCCTTGCCTGCTGCCGCAGTGTACAGGGCATGATCCAGTGGTCCCTGCCTAAAGGGTCCTATCCATCCCAGATGTCATGCCAGGCTCTGGTGCAGCGTCACTGAGCTCAAGAAAGAACTAGCCTTTATTTCCCCAGGCATCAAATGGACACCTGATGAGAATGGAGTCATTGCCTTTGACTGCCGAAATCGTGGCTGGTAAGTGCTTTCAGGGAGAAGGCCTGTGGTGCTGGCATCCTTCTTAGAGCCTTTGGGTTTTGCCTAGTTCTCCTGCAGCCCCTGCCACCTGCCACCATCCAAGGACCTTGGGTGTGTAGCACCTTAATGCAATACAAGAGAAGTGAGAGTGCCAGCTGTATTCCTCCCTTCTCTCTACAACCACCCCTACTCCAGGACTGATCACACTTGTCTTTCCCACTCCCCACCTCATCCAAGCACACTGAGCTGTCTCCACACCAACCCTCTCCCGGGCTCTCCTCTTCCTCCATTCCCTTCCTTGGGCAGATGTGTAAAAGTCTGAGGATAGAATCCAACTCTCTCCCTTCCCAATGCCATCACTGCCCTTTGGCACCCTGACTGGTCCAAAGCAAAGAGAAGGAGGGTTACGACCAGGACTTGACCTTTCTCCCACCTGACAGGCCCATCAGATGGCACATTCCCAACTGTTATGCTGAGTGCTCATGTGCCATGATAAAACCTAGCACTGATGGGGCATTGACCTAAATTTTGGATACACTTGAGCCAGAACCTGAATGGAAATAACTGGGGACTCAGTTGGGTGGTTGCTCTGCTTTGACTGTCCCATTGTTAGCATGTTCTTCTCTTTCTACTAAAGGTACATACAAGCCGCTACTTCTCCCAAGGACATAGTGATTTTGGTGGACATGAGTGGCAGCATGAAGGGGCTGCGGATGGCTATTGCCAAGCACACCATCTCCACCATCTTGGACACCCTGGGAGAGAATGACTTTGTTAATATCATCGCGGTAAATATGTCTTCCTGTTCCATAATAGCTCTCCTTGTTCTAGAAAAAAACTCCAGCCCACACTAGAATGGCGTAAGCTTATAATTGCTTAACACTTTATATTGTGAAATCACTCTCCCCTCTGAAGCTGGCGCTCCTAACCAAGGGTTGAATGAAGGACAGGCTTCAAGAAGTCCCTAGAAATTATTTTGAAATTGTGTGCAAAATGTGCTTGTCCATTTTCCTAAGTTGGTAGATTTCATCAATTTCTCAGACAAGTCTGGGATCTAATTAAGGCTAAGATGCGCTGGTCCTGAGCAAATACCTAACTTACCTGTCTGCACGCTCTTCCCTGGTGCCTGTCTCTGGGATAGGCTTTCCGTTCTGCTTGGGCTCCTGCTTTATAATCCCAGTTCTATCACTCCCCTCACCCACCCAAATCCAAGCACACCGGGAGAGAGGGGAAAGCAGGTTCTGGGGCCCGGAAGGGGGCTGGCAGACCTGGTCCTGCTTCACAGCAGCTCCTGCTGAGGAAGCTCTGCTTGCCCCCTGGGAAAGTAATTGAAGTGGAGGGACAGAGCAGAAAGAAATGGCAGATATACAAGTTAGAAAGTTGCTTCACAATGCAGTGAGCGAGTAGGCCGGTCCAGCCTCCAAGGGCAGAGCTGACGGCCACCTTGGGGGCATCATTTTGAAAACTACTTGATCCCAGGCTTACCTCCACCATCATGTCCCATGGCTGAAAATGCTTGTTGTTAGTAGAATTTCCTTATCTAGTTAAGACATATCAAGGTAACATGGCCATCCTGGGGTAAGAGAATTCCCCCTCATCTCTGAGCTGCTCCCCTGAGGCTGCATCCCTTACCCCCTGCATCGACCCTGGACCTGCCCTCCCCATCTCTCCCTCCTCCCCAGGTGGTCACGACCTGCAGCAGTGACTGGTGGCTACCAGCACAGGTCCCACCAGTCCACAAGAGCAGGGGCGTGCTCCCCACCCCCTGGAGTCTGCTCTGCCTCCCCGCAATCATCCTCCTTTCCCAGCTGTTTGCAGAGCAGCTGTTCAAGGAAGCACTGACTCCCAGACAGCCCAGCACTCTCCCTGGAACACACAGTGGCCTTACCATGGTCCAGCACAGTCTCCCCTTTGCTCACTGTCTCACTTAAGCAGAAGTAGATTAAGGAAACCCTGAAGATTTAACTTCTAACTATGGGGAAGCAGGGTGGTTAAAAAAAAGGGAGCAGTAATAATTCATTTTTCTTTCCATTCCCAACCCCTGTTGACAGGTGAAGAATCCTCTCCGTAAATGCAGGGCAAAGAGGAAAAGAGCACAGTTTCTAATCCTGGACCCAGGCATCAGGGAGGGGTCTGCCCATGGAATGTTGTGGGAAGGCACTCTGTCTGCTCTTGGGAACAGAGACCAAAGGGATCTCTCATTGGCAGCAGGTCCTCTGTGCTCTGGAGATGGTGCCACTCAGCCAGTCCCCTGAGAAAAATGACCCTAGACTGGAATTTGAGAGAGGATGGTTAGAGCTAAGGCCCCACTGTTCTCTATACTCCCTCTCCACTTAGAAAAATGGCCAAAAGCATAGGGTGCCCCAAATTAACATGACACAGGGGCCTAGGTGGTCCCAACCCCTGCCACCCTGGGAGTTGCCTAAGCTTCTTCCCTGGGCCCTGAGTTTCAGACTGACCCTGTCTCTTCTTCTCTCTCCTCTGCCCTCTGCAACCTCAGTACAATGACTACATCCATTATATTGAGCCTTGTTTTAAAGGAATCCTTGTCCAGGCCAATCGAGATAATCGCGAGGTGAGTGTCCACTGTCAGGTGAGTGCCTGATATCCCCGAAGCCCTGCTCTGACCCCGGGGGAGTTGTCCGTGCAGACTGCCCAGCAGCCCCTCTTACTCATTCCCACCATAGCTGGAAAGAGGGCAAACGGGTGTGCAGTTACCTGGCCAATACACCTGGGAAATCACCTTCCTAATATTGCTACCCACCTATCAGAGCAAATAGTGAGCAAAGAGAGGCCACCCAAGGAGACCTTGCCTACGCAGGCCTGGTTTTCACTCTGTGGATCACCCAGGACTCAGTTTCCCCTTTGCCTCCCCATGTTCTCTCCACTATGTCGGCTTTCATGAGTAGCTCCGCAGAACGGGGAAACAAAAACCCTCTGGGTTGAGTCCTTTCAAAAGCCAGGGAGGGGAGGCAGTGACCACCTTTTTTAAAAAGGGAGAGTTAACAGGTGACAGGGGTTCGGGTTGACTTCCTCCCGAGTCCCGGCCGAGGGTGGGTCTCCTGTGGGTGCTCTCTGTTGGCTGGACCTGGGAACGTAGGCACTGGCATGGACCAGCCTCCCAACTCCGGCTGGGCACCCACCTGGCATTTCCCTCCAGTCATGGGGATGGATTTGCACACTTTGGGGGCATTTGAGAAACATCTGTTGTAGGGGTCCACCCATTAAATTAGCTGGATCCTAAAGAGATGGATCCTTCAAGCATGCACTTTGGGCAAACAGCTCCAAACAACCTCTGAAATTAAGACCAAAGATGAAGGGTCCCTGGCCCACTGCATCCACTCATCTGCCTTTAATTTCCCAACCCTGAAGCATTTCAAGCAGTTGGTAGATGAGCTGATGGTCAAAGGCACGGGGGTCGTGAGCCGAGCCCTGACTGAAGCCTTCGGGGTCCTGAAGCAGGTATGCCCCTGACCCGGATGAAGCTGGGGAGAGGGAAGGGGTGAGGAGGTGGAGCAGGTGAATGAGTACAGCCCATGGCCTGTGACCCTGGCACCTGTCTCCCACTGTGCAGTTCCAGGAGGCCAAGCAAGGGAGCCTGTGCAACCAGGCCATCATGCTCATCTCTGACGGGGCCGTGGACGACTACGAGCCAGTGTTTGAGAAGTACAACTGGCCAGACCGCAAGGTTACTTTCCTGGGGGATGTTGACGGCAGAGGGGACAGGGCCCATAAAGCATCCTCCTGCCAGGCCTGCCGAGTTCAAACGTCCTGCTCCATTAGCCCCACTAGTAAATTCAGACAGCACGTCCCAGGCCAGAGTTCCAGAGTCCTGGTGACCCTGGGCATGGAGGGGTCGTGGGAGACAGCTGAGAGTGACACTCCAGAATCTGGAGTTGAGTCGTGAAGACTGCCGGGCAGTGAGCAACACCCCACCCCGGCCCATGGCATCACAGCGCTGGCGAGGCCTGCCTCCCCAGGCGTCAGAGTCCTTTCTGGTCAAGAGGCGAGAGTGGGAAACCCAAAGTCAGCTCCCAGCCAGGTGCTGTCCCCTGAGTCGCTCTGTGTCTTGTGGATCAGGTCCGAGTGTTCACTTACCTTATTGGGAGAGAAGTGACATTTGCGGACCGCATGAGGTGGATCGCATGCAGCAACAAAGGTAGGTGGCGCGTGGGCAGAGTCGCCGCAGTGCTGAGGGATGACTCTGTGGGGGCCTCGCAGAGGACAGGCTCTGTCGACAGGACAGTGTCTGCCCCTCCTTCTCACTTGGGAAAATCAAGTCAAAAAATAAAAATAAAAAGATTGCCTTGAGCGAACGCATGGATGTTCCTGCAGGAACGCTGAGTCATAAAGTCACCTGCAGTAGAACTCAGAGGTCACCTATCCCGTGTTTGCAGAAGAGCAAATTATCTCTTCAAATAAAGTCGGACACAAACCACATACAGACACAGTGAGGCAGGGCTGGGCCTGGAAGTTTAAATGTAAGTCCTCTTCCAAGTCTAACTTCTGTTCCTTGTGCTGCATATTAAGCCCATTTACTCCGTTCTGCTCTCAGACAGAGCATAGGGTCATCATTTTGTTTAGAATAATGTTTTATATGCAAACATCCCTTATCTGTCTCTGGCCAGAACCTAAGACCTGAGTCTTAGGGTGTCAGCTTGGACCCTCTTGATTCAATCCAAATTTTTTTTATTATTAAGGTATCATTGATATACACTCTTATGAAAGTTTCACAAGGAAAACAATGTGGTTACTACATTCACCCTTATTATCAAGTCCCCCACCACACCCCATTGCAGTCACTGTCCATCAGTGTAGTAAGATGCCACAGAGTCACTGCTTATCTTGTCTGTGCTACTGTCTTACCTGTGACCCCACCCCAACACCGTGTGTGCTAATCATAATACCTTTCAATCCCCTCTCCCTCCCTCCCCACCGGCCCTCCCTAATGCCTCCCCTTTGGTAACCATTTAGTCCCTTCTTGGAATCTGTGAGTCTGCTGCTGTTTTGTTCCTTCAGTTTTGCTTCGTTGTTATACTCCACAAATGAGGGAAATCATTTGGTCCTTGTCTTTCTCTGCTTGACTTATTTCACTGAACATAATACCCTCTAGCTCCATCCATGTTGATTCAACCCAAATTTATTAAGCATCTGCTGTGTACCTGGCAGATTCCACATCGCGATCAGGATGGACTGAATCTTGCTCTTGCAGAGGAGACAAACATGCAAACAGTGATGATATAGGTTGAGCTGCGTGCAGTGGGCAGAGGGGCGCAGACTGTACAGGGCACCAGGGGTGATGGGAGCGGCACTTTCCCCTTTTGAGGGTGGCCAAGAAGGTTTTCTGAAGACTTCCTTAAAGGTGTCTAAGCTGAAACAAAGACCTGGTAGGAGTCACCCAGACATACAGAGCAGGGAAGGGTGTTCCAGAAGAGGGAATAGATGTTCAAAGCGTCTGAGTCAAGAGGCACACTGGGAGCTAAAAGTGGTTCCATTTTCTGGAGGTGGAATGACTGTTCTGTGGAAGATGATGGGCAAGGAGATCAGAGAGGCAGACATGTGCTGAGCTATTCATAGCCTTTTGCTCTTTTAAATACCACCAAGGGCACAGTGAAGAGGCAGTAGCCCCCTCCCCATAACTGAGGAAGGACGGCGGTCACAGGAAGGAGGGGGCAGGGCGTGGTAGGGGCCGAGCCACTGTCTTAGACTGGGCTCCCTGGAAACAGACCCTGAGACAGCTGCCTGCAGGAGGGGGCCCCCTGGGAAGATGCCCAGGAAATGAGGAGGCAGCAGAGCCAGAGGGCAGGCCGCCCACAGGGCCCTGCAGGTGAGGCTCCGCTGCTGCGGCGGCCGCTCTGGAACTGGGAAGGCCCCTCGGAGTCTCCAAGCTGAGACAGGGGCCGGCCTTTGTGCGCCGTCAGGACCGCTGGCCTTGGCTGCCCCCAGGAGAGGACATGACCTAGGGGGAAGCAGTTCCTGGGGGTGCCAGCAGTGAGCCGTCGCCCCTAGGGGTGTGCATGCCGAGCAGCAGGTTCCAAGTGGAGCCCCGCCTTCCACAGCCATGTGGCCCCTCCCCTCCGCAGGCTACTACACGCAGATCTCCACGCTGGCAGATGCCCAGGAGAACGTGATGGAGTACCTGCACGTGCTCAGCCGCCCCATGGTCATCAACCGTGACCGAGATGTCACCTGGACGGAAGCCTACATGGACAGCAAGGTGGGTCCTGGCCCTGCTCCAGAGTAGGGATCCTGGGAGCAGGGGGCGGCTTCCTGGGTCAGGAGACATGGGCAGGGCACCTTGTATGGGGATGCTGCAAAGGGGTTGACACTGCCTGCCCGTTGGCAGGCCCCCTGCCCAGGTGCTGCCCCGAGAGGCCCAGACCTGTGAGCAGAGCTTCCAGGGCTGTCCCCGCGGACAGAGCCCCTCTGCCCCAGGCGTTGCCCCTCCTCGCTCCACCCTGCCCGCCTCCCTCGTCATCCTTCTCCCCGACCTGCTTCCAGAAGAAAGGAGCCCAAGTAATTCAAGACACCGTCACTTCGCGAGGTGTCCCCCCTCCTGGGGCCTACATTTCAAAGTGATGGGCCACAGGCAGCAGGGACCTGTGCCAATGGACAGGCAGGGAAGGCATGTCAGCTGAGGCCCAGGGAAGAGGCCCTCCTGGGTCACATTCCGTAGGCAGCTGCGTGCTCCAGGGAGGACAGGTCAGCGTGCGATTAGCAGGGCCCTGAGAATAGCAGCTTAAGTAGGAGAGGAATGGTTCTCCCCCACACAAAGAAGTCTAGTGGTGGCCAGCCCAGCGCTGATGACCTGGGACCAGACCCCTTCCTGCTGTCCCCTTGGCCTTCCCTGGGGGCCTCCTGACTCAAGTGGCCAGTGGGACTCTAGTCAACTGAAACCACTCACTCTCAGAAATCTTAGTTTCAAACTCTAAATTGGAAACTCAGTTGAGGAAGGGAGAAGAAATCTGATGGTTAGTAACCTAACACACAGAATGATGGGCATAGACAACAATATGCACTCCATGTAATGTGATAAATACCACTACCATGGCAATCCTATTACAGTGTGTATGCAATATGTAGCAAAGCAACATGTACATGTACATGTTGTATGTTAAATATATTCAATTTTTAAAAAATTCTTCATTCTGAGAGGTCCATGGCTTGGCAACCACCTCTAGCTGATCCTGAGGAACGTCAGGCTTATCAGGCACACCCGCCCACACCACCTGTTAGGGCCTGTCTTTGTGATAAAGTGGGGTGTGCATGTGGAGCCCAAAGGAGCCGGCCCAGTGAGATGAGGCAGGGCGGAAGGTGCGCCATCCCAGAGGCAGGGAATGGCGTGGCTCTGGTGCTCTAAGTTGGGGATGGGTTGTGGGTCGACACATGCGTGTGTCAGCAGTGGCCCTGGGAGCCAGCTGCAGCCACACCCCCACCCCGCACTGGGCTTCCTCATGCACGAGCTTGTGTGCACAGGTGGCTCCGCATCAGTGTCCTTCTCCCTCCTGGCTGGTCTGCTTCGTGCCAGCCTTGGGTCCCTGGTAGAAATTTCTGGAAAAGCTCTTTGTTCCTGGGCATCTGCAGGATGGGATGTTCCCCGGGAGCCCACTCATCCTTGGTGCCGGTGAGGGTGCAGGGGAGCCGAGTGCTGGGCTCTGGGGATCTGAGACTTGCCCCGGCTCAGGGCTCTGCTTGCCATGTGGCATTGACCTGGCACCCTCCCAGACCACCTCCCCTCCTCAGTTCTGCCCCTTCTGGAGAGGAGAAATCTCCTCTGGGACTTCTTCCTCATGCCGGAAGGTGGCCCTGGTGTGGTGGCTGGCATCGGTGGCTGTGGGTTGTCACACTGTGGGCTCAGCCCCTGGCCTTGGCTCCCTCCTCCCTGACAGCCCTTCACCTCGAGTGCACAGAACCCAGCGCTCCTCACCACGGTGGCCATGCCCGTCTTCAGCAAAAAGAACGAAACAGTGAGTTGCCATGAGAAGCTGTAGCAGGGGTTAGAACATGGGGCCTGTTTATCATCTTCAGACCCACGTTTTCTGACTTGGCTGGATGCCGGAGCCACCCTGGGAGGGCTTTAAATGTGGGTTCCAGACCCTGTGCCCAGATAGCTACATCAGAATCCCTTGGTCGGGAGGGACTGGGGTGGGAGGTGGGGTGCGCTCCATACTTCCCAAAGCCCCCCGGGGATTCTGCTCAGCCAGCTTGGGGTGTCTACTGCTGCACACTTGGGACCACCGCCTCAGGGATGTAGGGCTGGGGGCTCTCCTGCCTGCCGTCCAGCAAAACCACACCAGCCTCGCAGCTCGGGCAGCCTCTGACTTGTTTGTAAAGGCCCTGGTGAGGGGACTTCTGGAGCATTCCCTCCTCCCTCGGGTCAGGGAGTGTTCCCCATATGTTTGAGAACACCCACAGATTATGGGCCCTTGGATTCTGATACTACAGCTCTGCTAGGAAAATTAATATTTCATTCAACTTTGTATTTTACTTAAATATTACAACTTAAATATTAATAATGGGAAGACATTAATGTTCTCAGAAGCTGAGATTACTCCTGGGGCCTCTTCTGATAGGTTTTAGGCTTTTACTCCGGAGAGCTCAGCCTAAAACCCAAATGCACAAGAACCACACGAGGCCTAATGGCATGCAGGTCCAGGTGCTGGGAAGGCTGAGGGCCCAGTCCAGCCAGGCTGACCCTGGTGTTTCTCCTTGCAGCGATCCCACGGCATTCTTCTGGGTGTGGTGGGCTCTGATGTGACCCTGAGAGAGCTGATGAAGCTTGCGCCAAGGTACAAGGTGAGCCAGGTCAGGTCCCTCCACGGAACCACAGGTTCTCCAGGGGCTCCTGTGCAGGTAGCGCAGCCAAGCCCAGGCTGGGAAGGGGCCCTGCCGTGCTGCCCTGTGGAAGTACAGGCACGGAGCACAGGGACAGCGCCTTGGGCTCCCGTCACCACTTGTTGCCACCAGCTCTGACCTGCCCTGTGGCCCTCAGCAAGGTCTGTCCCTTCCCGGGGCCTCAGGTGTCCAGTCTGCCCCTCCCTGCCATGTGGTCCTGTTGGGGATGAACGACAGTACGTCGTCAAAGCATTTAGAGCATGTGGCGGGAAAGAGGCCAGCTGATGCTGTGCATTATTATGGTTGCTCTAAACAGTAGAATTTGGAGAGGAATTCAAAATTAATGGCTAGAAGCACAGTGCTGGCTCAGTCACACTCCTGTTTGAAGGACTTCCTGCTGTGAGCTGCCACCTGACTGTCCTGGGACCCCAAACCCCATTCCCAGCGCCAGTTCTCTGACACAAGCCGCGGATCTCATGGCCCTCCCTCCCCATCTCTGCTAGCTCGGAGTGCATGGATATGCCTTTCTGAACAGTAACAATGGCTACGTCCTCTCACATCCTGACCTCCGACCCCTGGTAGGTACAGATCTTATTTGCCTTCTGGGACCTTAACTATATGGGATTTAGGGGTAGTTCATAAAAGCAGTTACAACAATAAACACACATTGGGCTCCATTCAAGAACTCAATGGGTAATAAGAGAAAAAAAATTTAAGTCACGGTCTCTGTTTTCAGATTTTTAGCAATCTGGCAGGAGACAAGGCAAACACATGCACTGATTGATGAACAGTCTGGAGAGCATGCCAGGAGGGGCAGCTTCCCTGCAGACCAAGCCACTGAGCTTCCTGCCACTGCCTCAGGGCTCCGTCTCCCTCCTGGAGTCCCATAGCAACACCAGCAGAGCTCCAGGGGCCCGCCCAAGGGCTGCCATGCTGATAACAGTAAAAGTGGCAGGGGCAGGCCTCACACAGTGGGGCAGCAGAGCAGCGCTCCGCTGAGCTTTCCTGACTCTTCCTGAGTGTTCCTGCCTCTTCCCATCCTGACACGGGGGTTGGGGGCACATCACATGCACTCAGCAGAACAGCTGACAGCCAAGAGAGAAAGTTACATCATTTTACCTAAAAGTTCTGCTTCCGGGGCTAAGGGCTCCCAACTGCCTCTGGTCTTGGCACTTGGCCACTGTCTATGACACTGTCCTCTTGGTATGATCACTGGGGACAGTGAGGAGAAGGGAGTTAAAGTTCCAGGGGAGTCTTAGCTCTTTCCCATCTACCAGTATTATCCTTAATTGAGGGTAACAGCTGAAGGCAGTAGATAGCAGAGAACTTTTCTGAGAACTTACTGGGGACTCACCTATCCCATGTGCCATGATGAGAGATCCGTCTAAGCCCCATGCCATTTCATCTGGGCAAGATAAATGCCGAGCGTCCATAAGGCAACTGACTGGGCTCTTCAAGGCAAACTCTAGGTGTTCATAGTAGAGGCAGATCAGGACACCAGGGGACCACTCTTGTCTTCCCAATTCAGATTCTACTGGGCAACCACCTGCACCCTGGGGGGACACTCACCTACACCAGCGGGTTCTGGGAGGTCAGCCCTGGCACCAACAAAATGACCCACTAGGGAAGTAATAAATGTGTTCATCCTGCAGCTGACTTGTAAAATTAAGGGGCTCTGGTCAGAAACCCATGTGTCATGTCCATATAATGTAAATCAATAGAAGCTTCAACCAATCGAGTCATATTGCAGACTTACTGTGCACCTAACCTTAGAATGCCGTATATAGAAGTTCACAGTCCAATTAAGAAAATGGACAAATGAAACACTTAGAGACCAACGCAATGCAGAATAAAAACTATGGTAAAACCAGCAGAGTGGAATTCCTAAGAAAAGCAGGTCAAATTATGGCAGATGTTAATGAGAACAATAATTGAGCCAAAAAAATAACAGAGGGTATGTATGCCTTATAGTAAACAGAATGAGGGTTAAAAGCAATACTTTGGGTCTGAAATCTTTCTGTGTCCATGCCCAGAGGATGAGCAATTAACAAAGTGGGACTATGGTTTTAATACGAGGAGCTAATGGTGATCTTTCAGGTATCATCAAGAATTAGGAAATGGCAATGAATGAGGAATTTATCTTACTCAAAAGAAATGGAGCCAAGGTATAAGAGGCTGGGCAATGCTGTTTGTCATGAGTACAGACAGCAAAAGGCCAAGAATGGGAACATCCTCCGAGCATGGGTGAGGAAAGAGAAGAATGAAACGGGGATACTGAGTGGCAGTCACACCACAGATCTCCTGGACAGGCAAGAAATAAGGATGACAGGGCTCAAGATGGCGGCGTGAGCAGGATGGCGGAAATCTCCTCCCAAAACCATACATATTTTTGAAAATACAACAAATACAACTATTCCTAAAAGAGAGACCAGAAGATACATTACAACAGCTAGACTACATCTACATCTGCAAGAACTCAGCATCTCACAAAGGGGGTGAGATACAAGCCGTGACCTGGTGGGACCTGAGCACCCCCTCACCCCAGCTCTCAGGTGGGAGGAAAGGAGTCAGAGCAGGGAGGGAGTGGAAGCACAGGACTGCTAAATAACCAGCCCTAGTAATCTGCCCTGGGAGCACAGACAGACATTGCATGGTGAACTAGATATTAGAGAAATGGAAAAATAAAATCTGAGAAGGAGACTGCAAGTGGATCCACGCAACTGACTCCCCTGGGACAAAAGAAAAGCAGGCACTTTTTTAAAGTCTTAAAGGGACAAGGGCTCAACAGCTGGACAAAATTGTCCTGGCACACTCAGCCCAGCAGGCTGGGAATCTTGAGGAACTTTGGGTCCCCTAACACCCTGGGGGTTAAAGCAGCCCCAAAAGCCCCTCACCGCAATAAGCAGCCTGCTATTTGTTTCCCCTGGCTGGTGCTGCAAGCAGACCAGCTGACCCACCACAGCTGCAGAGCAGCCACGGAACAGCCCTGCCCACAGCAACCACACAGAGTCTCCTCCCAGTGTGCACCTAACTGGGACAGGTGGAGGAACCAGAGCAAGGTCTGGAAGGCATGAAGGATGCAATTCTCACAGGAGAACACACCCAGCATGGCTGAGATCCCCCGCAGTGTGCTAGGCTATCCTAAGGGCCGTCCTGCCCATGGCAGCTGAGGAGATTATCCCAGAGAATGCTCCCAGTGGGTGGGTAAATGGCACAATCAGGGGAGAAGGGCAAGGTGACCAAGAAGCAGGAGGTGACTTTGTTGTCCCACCTGACACATGCACCACATGCCTGCAACCACTTTTATCACCATGAAAAGGCAGAAGAATCTGGTCCAGTCAGAAATTACTCAGACAACCCCAGAGAGAGGGTTTGATGAGATAGATATAACCAATCTTCCTGAAAAAGAATTCAAAATAAAAGTCATAACCATGCTGATGGACCTGCAGAGAAATATGCAAGAGCTAAGGGATGAAGTCCAGAGGGAGATAACAGAAATGAAACAGTCAATAGAAAGTCTTAAGAGCAGACTGGACGAGGTGCAAGAGACGTTAATGGAATAGAAATCAGAGAACAGGAATATAGAGAAGCTGAGGCAGAGAGAGATAAAAAGATCTCTAGGAATGAAAGAATATTAAGAGAACTGTGTGACCAACCCAAATGGAACAATATTTGCATTATAGGGTATCAGAAGAAGATGAGACAGAGAAAGGGATAGAAAGTGTCTTTGAAAAAATAATTGCTGAAAACTTCCCCAAACTGGGGAAGGAAATAGTCTCTCAGACCATGAAAGCCCACAGACCTCCCAACACAAGGGACCCAAGGAGGACAACACCAAGACACATAATAATTAAAATGGCAAAGATCAAAGACAAGGACAGAGTATTAAAGGCAGCCAGAGAGAGAAAAAAGATCACCTACAAAGGAAAACCCATCAGTCTATCATCAGTCTTCTCAACAGAAACCTTACAGGCCAGAAGAGAATGGCATGATATATTTAATGTAATGAAACAGAAGGGCCTTGAACCAAGAATATTGTATCCAGCATGATTATCATTTAAATTTGAAGGAGGGATTAAACAATTTCAAGACAAGCAAAAGTTGAGGGAATTTGCCTCTCATAAACCATCTCTACAGAATATTTTAAAGGGATTGCTCTAGATGGAAGCACTCCTAAGGCTAAATAGATGTCACCAGACAAAATTAAATCACAGCAAAGAAAGCAAACCAATCAAATACTAACTAACTAAAAACAAAAAATAAAATCAACTATCCACAAAAGCAGTCAAAGGAAACACAGAAGAATACAGAATAAAACACCTAACATATAAAGAATGGAGGAGAAAGAATAAGAAGGGAGAGAAATAAAGAATCATCAGACTGTGTTAATAATAGCTTATTAAGAGAGTTAAGTTAGGCAGTTAGATAGTAAAGAAGCTACTCTTGAACATTTGGTAACCATGAATTCAAAGCCTGCAATGGCAATAAGTACATATCGATAATCACCCTAATTGTAAATGGACTGAATGCACCAGTCAAAAGACACAGAGGAATACAATGAACAAAAGAGCAAGACCCATCTATATGCTGCTTACAAGAGACTCACCTCAAACCCAAAGATATACACAGACTAAAAGTGAAGGGATGGAAAAAGATATTTCATGAGAAAAAATAAGGAGAAAAAAGCAGGTGTTGCAGTACTTGTATCAGACAAAGTAGACTTCAAAACAAAGAAAGTAACAAGAGATAAAGAAGGACATTTCATAATGATAAAGGGGTCAGTCCAACAAGAGGATATAACCTTTATAAATATCTCTGCACCCAACACAGGGGAACCTACATATGTGAAACAAATACTAACAGAACTAAAGGAGGAAATAGAATGCAATGCATTCATGTTAGGAGACTTCAACACACCACTCACTCCAAAGGACAGATCAACCAGACAGAAATAAGTAAGGACACAGAGGCACTGAACAACACACTAGAACAGATGGACCTAATAGACATCTACAGAACTCTACACCCAAAAGCAACAGGATACACATTCTTCTCAAGTGCACATGGAACATTCTCCAGAATAGACCACATACTAGGCCACAAAAAGAACCTCAGCAAATTCCAAAAGATTGAAATTCTACTAACTAACT